TGTGTTCAGAGTATAAGAATGCAAATTAATGAAATAAATAGACTGTACGTTCTTTGTTGCTTGTATGTCGGTTGGATGCCCTGGCCAGGCGTCTGCCCCGACGTACCGGTGATAAAGCGTATTGCGGGCGTGGTATACAGATTTTGTAACAGAAGTATAGATCTATCAAATGACGAATGGCAAAGCACAGCACATATTTTCACATTCATGCTGACTAAATGATTATCTTGAACTTGACATCAGATCCTCAACAATAAATATGTTCGAAACAGTACACTGCCGCTAAGTTCCGTTTCTAGGTCAGGGCCAAGAAATTCCCGAGGACGGGAATATAGAGGATGGCCGAAATGTTATGAAAAGCGGGAAAGACAGACCGAGCGACGGTGGCTGGAACGCCAAGGCCAGTGTGCGTGTCCCGAAACGCTGAATAGAGTGATTGTTCATAATTTTATAAACATTTTTATATAAACATGGCAGTTCGATATACGAATAGAAAAGGAGGATTAGTTAGTTAGAATTAAAGAGTAGAATAGCGAACAATTGAGAATGTAAATTTTACCTAAAATAAAGAAAATTGTTGTCATAAAATATTTTTGTTTATAACACAATTATATAATTATCATTATACTCCGCGGTCGAAATTATAGAGAGTGACTCAGACATAATATAAACACACTATTACCATAATGCGCATACAATGTAAAATGATTTTTATAACGGTTCAATATTATTTATCTTTGTGCCGCTCCCTACGCACATCGATAGAATCTATAATCGTCTATAGACTGAGTTACACTGAACGTCGATCTATATTCTATCTCTGTCTTTTGCACTTGGTAGGGAATAGGGAAATGCTTTAGTGGGTGTAAACGGACTTGATTTAGCCGTCCTGAGAAACGTCATAACATAAGCGTAGACGAGGGGTCTAATTCCATTGCTGTAATAAATTTATAAATTAAAAAAACACAACTGGGACGTTTTAAAATGCTGTAATAATTAAAATGGATCAAAGTGCCGGTTATAGCAAACCGTAAAAAATATTAGATGTGATATTTTATTATCTTTTTTCAATATTTTCTATATCTTGTTGCCTTTTACACAGACACGCCAATGGATTTTCGTTCCCGGCACGCTTCATCCCCCTTACTAGTCCAAAAGCTGGCGATGAGTCACTCTCTATAATTTCGACCGCGGAGTATAGATAACTGTATGGATTTTACCAGACCCAGAGGTTCTCGTTTTAGAACCGAAAGTAGATATTGAAACTTTTCTGTATTAGAAACAGACTCATTATTATGAATGAGAGAAGAATACAAATCAATGAAATTCGGCCAATCTTTGTAATTCCCTCGAATGCTGGCAACGTAATTTTTGGCAATTTAATATTTGAAAAAGAACGATTATTCAAAGATACTGCATTTGGTTGAGTATTTTCAAATAAATCATGAAAAGTTGTCTTAATTGAATAGTACATTTTCATAAAAGTTTTTCTAACTTCTTTATCTGGAGCCAAATCAGCATTTTCAGTAACGGACAGAGCAGTAATTATAGAAGCGTGATGGCGTTCAAACTCTTCATAGATCTTCTCTATATCATTATATTGAATTTTAAATGAAGGAAGCGAATTACTGCCATCGACAGGTGTCTGTGCTAAATCGTATAATTCGATCAACTGATCTATAGAGAGTTCACGTATAGCACGCGTTTGTTTAATTTTATTAGACATATTAAATGTAAAGTACAAATTATTATAAATGGAAAAAATGTAATAATTATAAATGAATTGAATACAATTTCAGTTGGAACGAGTTTAAATTGTAATATAAATTGTACACCAGCCACCCGGTATAAATGAAGTAGAAGATAACAAAGGAATGTGGTAGGCCGCAAAAACTTTATGATATACTTAGGAATAAAAATGAACTTAAAATGTAAATGAATAGTTTTGTTCAATAATTAATAAGTTAAATAATTTGTCACAACAATAATGAAGTAGTTTTCAATAAAATAAATGTTTTAATCCGGCTCGAAGGACCATGTATGTTATAACGCCGCGATTATTAAAAGTGGTGGACTGTATGAACGGTTAGATAAGCAAATAAAATGGTTGGAGATGGCTTACCACTGTTGAAATTCACTAGGTTCTTGAAGGGCCCTTCTGATGTCTTGAATTTGATGCGGCTGTCTATTTATTATAGAGTTGGAGTAGGAATCAAACACTCCCTTGTTTGTAGGTCGAGTCTTTTGAATGAACTGAATTATACACAAAAACCATCTTGTCGTATTCTTTGATCGGAATTGCCTAATATTTGAGAATTGCGAGGCGATTCAGCAACCTGGGCTCGTCGCGAAGACGTCGATGCTGAGCTTCGAGCCCCACGTCGAGCGCCATGTCGTAAACTATGATCGTTTGGATTAGAATTATTGGTTTCCTCGACCCGGGTCCGCGGTGGAGACGCCAGGAGTTCAAATGGATCGTCACTTTGGACGCCAGGTCGCATTAGGTTCTCAAACGACTGTGGTCTGTTGTGGATATGGCCTACAGACGTGGTGTCTAGGACACGAGCTCGTGGGGGAGTTCTCGACGACGAAGGTCGAGCCCCACGTCGAGCGCCGTGTCGGGTTAGACTTTCTAAATAGGGACCACTTAGGCGGTGATCAAATGTTCGGGGGAAATCATGAGAGTGGACGGGCGATGTATCAGAATTGCTTAGATGAAAATAGCCGGCTACGTCACTTACAACGTGGTCGGCTAAGGGGTTTTCGCATGCTATGGCACCCGAACGTGATGCGCATTGCTCCCGCTGGTTACCATTTCGTAAAAATGCTGTATGTACTGGATCGCCGATGCCAACGGTTCCACGTTCCGGGACACCCGATATCGGAAGTAGGCCGATACCGGGGCCGGACCGCGAACCGTGGTCGGGCTTATGGGATTCCCCGAACCCTACCAGTTGGTACGTAGGTATAACCTCGTCCCGAGTATCTGTGGGTAACTCACTTCGTGGCAACTCTTGAGAACGACTACTCGTCTCCATGGGCACGTCTTGAGGGATACTCGAGGTGGTATCGGTAACTCGTGTAGTCGCGGACCTCAGCCTGTACGGCACCTTCGGCTCCTCAGACTCTCCACGAAGCACCGAGATAGCGTTTGGTTGGAACGAGGTTTCGTCCAGCTCAGTCTTGATCAAAGAATCACGATCTGATTTATTTGTTGTACCTTAGAGGGCACCAATCCTCGTAGCACTGGATGTCGCGTCGCAGGGATACATCTTACTCCGTACGATAATGTCGGAGCAAGCTCTTTTGCTCCGAAAGTCTTGTAGAAACACTGACTCTACTTTTAAATGTGGGTCTCTCGAGGGAGTCCTGAGAAGCAAGGACAACTTTTGCTAAATTTAGAGTACGCCGCCGCAATGTCGTGCGTACTATTGCTTTGAACCCGTAGATTGCAAAGAAAATGTCTCGTAGGGGTTTGACGAGGAAAGTTGCCTCGACGAGTGACCGCCTAGAGGTTTGACGAGGAAAGTTGCCTCGGATTTGCAGATCTTAATAGAGTCTGAATGATAGGACTCGTAGGAGCCTATGTGTGTACCGCTTTACCGAGGTGCGGGTCTCTCGATGGAGCCGGCACAATCGGAATCAGGGTCTTCGTCGGAGGTTCTCAGCCTCGGACGGTACGCATGTCTCAGAAGAAGCCTGGAATGTATCGCTGTTTCGATGCAGGGGGCTATCGAACAGGATCTTCGCCTCAGGTTGGGCTACCTCGGGCGGTTTTCAGGTCTCTGGAGGAGTCTGGTGTATCTCTGTGCGATGCAGGAGACTATCGGACAGGATCTTCGTTGAAGGTGGTCAGTCTCGGACGGTATCGCAGGTCTCTAAAAGGAGCCTGGAGAATTTACCGGTGTTTCGATGCAGGGGGCTATCGAACAGGGTCTTCGCCTCAGGTTAGGCTACCTCAGGTGGTATGTTTCGTGAAGCGAGTAGTGGTCGCTAGGCACTATAAATGTCCGCGTCAAGGAATGGCAGCCTTGACGGGAGCCTCGTTAAGCGAGCCTGTGAGCTTGAGCTCCAAAAGGTCTCGAGTTTGATGACAGGGTTTTTTCAGTCAAACCGTGAAAGATATATTAAAGGATTCATTGAACAGAAGTAGATAGGCTACCTTCATACGGAGCCAAAATCCCATGTGTTTTCTTATGGAGGTTCATCCTGGTCATTTTTGACGAATTTTACCCCCACTCCTCCACCTTTTCCCTTCCCCCTCCCCTTCCCCGCCAGCCAATCAGAGTACAGCATTTTTTTGCGAGAAATTCAAAATGTAGTAACCTAGGTCTTTGCCCCACCTAGGGCTTTGCCCCATCTAGGGCTTTGCTCCAGGGCTCCCACGCAGGTATCTTCATGTAGGTATGTAGGATTCCCCACGTAGACAAGAGTATTGTGCGTAGGCCTCCGCGTGTACCCCGCGTAGGTATACCTAAATTGTATAAGGCTTCGCCCGCCACCGCGGGCCCTAACGTGATCGAGCGGTGACATAGACAGTAGCCGCGATTTTCATTTCGCAATAGTAGGTCAAAACACGGCCTAGCGGGTGTCCGTAGATGGTGGTATAAGTGGAGCGCGGTAATGTAATCATAAATGGGGACATATTTAATTATACGGACTACGGCTAAAAATATTTACTGGAATTTACTTTAGGAATGTTTGTTAAAATAGAACAGAAAGGGACAATCCTTCTTCGTCTTAAATATTCATATATATTTCTTAAGTTCGAATGGCAAATTCTTTTATTTTTTAAATTGTATTGAAATAGAAATTATTCTGCTTAGGTGTGTGATAAGAAAACCAAGTTAACAAACGCTAGCACAGCTGCCTTTGCTGTCTGAGCAAAACAGCCAGTGGCCTGTTCTGGCGATATCAATTGCAGTCACTGCACTATGCGGTATTTCTTTGCTAAGACTGTTAATATACAATTTTATAATTAGTCATAAAATCAATGAGTTTGCTCTGCTTGTTTTTTGTTAAAAGTTTCTCGGATTATTATAGTGAGTGGTGCTTTTTGTGTGTATCCTTTTGGATAAAGAAAGGTAAGTCTATATACACATTTTCAATTAAAAACGTAGCTTTGTATAGCAGTTATAATCTTAAACGGCAATTACTTCTCATAGTAAAAAATTCTATAACTAAAAATATTAGCATTAAATTCTAAAACAGTCAAACCAGCTACCAAAATTAGTGGTATATTAAACAAATTCACTTACACGTTTATTATCTATTGAAGAAAAATTCTATTTAAAACTACCATTATACAAGGCGTTATTTTAGCAGTTGAGAAAAAACAATAGCTACTGGGCCTTTATAAAAGATACAAATTAGTTAACAACAAGATGGTGGCTAAAATCTAAAGAATTATTTTTTATATTATTATTTTTATAGACAGCGGAAAGACAGAGAGAGAGAGAGAGAGCAGCACTGGAAAGGCATGAATGTCAACCATAGGACGTCAGAGACATGGAAACCAAAAACAAGGCATACGAAGGGTAAGTTGCTTTCAATTTCTACATTTCAGATTGCTTTTCAGTTTTTAATACACAGTCCATGTATTCTAAAACTATAATTAGCTCTTAAAATAGCTTATTTATAATAAAATCATATTTAAAGCATTAATATTAAACTACAATTATTTTTCATAGTAAAAAATTCTATAACTAAAAATATTAGCATTAAATTCTAAAACAGTCAAACCAGCTACCAAAATTAGTAGTATATTAAACAAATTCAGTTACACGTTTATTATCTAACGAAGAAAAATTCTATTTAAAACCACCATTATACAGGGTGTTATTTTAGCAGTTGAGAAAAAACAATAGCTACAGAGCCTTTATAAAAGTTACAAATTAGTTAACAAGATGGTGGCTAAAAATCTAAAGAATTAATTTTTATATTATTATTTTTATAGACAGCGGAAAGACAGAGAGAGAGCAGCGTTGCAAGGGCATGCGTTTTGGCTACAGAATGACAGAGACATGGAAACCAAAAACAAGGCATACGAAGGGTAAGTTGCTTTAAATTTTATCATTTCAGATTACTTTTCAGTTTTAATACACAGCCCACGTATTCTAAAAACTATAATTAGCTGTTAAAATAGCTTATTTATAATACAATCATATTTAAAGCATTAATATTAAACTATAATTATTTTTCATAGTAAAGAAAACTTCTATAATTAAAAATATTGGCTTATTTCAACAGGAAAACAAGCTAAAAAAATCCTCAAAACATATTAACATTCTAAAAACTATAATTTAGCTGGTAAAACAGCTTATTTAATACAAAAAAAAATCACTTAATCGTAATAAACGTTAACTAACCGAAAATTAAATACAGGGCTTTATTATAATAACTGAAAAAATTAACCAAAAACAATTAAACAATAGGTAATTAGACGAATCTTTATTGAAAAAAGATAAAGCAATTTACTAGAATCATACAAAATCAAAACCAAAATCAGATTAAATTTTTTTTATTTAAAACCAGTATTATACAGGGTGATATTTTAACAGTTGAGCAAAAACAATAGCTACAGGGTCTTTATAAAAAGTTACAAATTATTTGACAACAAAATGATGGCTAAAATTCTAAAGCATTAATTTTATAGGCAGTTGAAAGTCTAGCCAGGACAGAAAGGCATGAATTTCGGCTACAAAGGCATGAAGCTCAAAGCAAGACAACAGGACGACAGAGATATGAAGAAACAAGGCATACGAAGGGTAAGTTGCTAGATTTTTCTGCATTTCAGATCGCGTCGTCTGTACCGATTCAATACACAGTTAAATATGCTGGCTTGATACGGTACCCGTGTCGTGTAGGGGTCTATCTTAAACGATTACCTAAGGGTAATCATTGGATTTTTCCTTGCCAACGAAAAAAGGTTTCAGCCACACGCGAAAAACTTAAATCCGCCCGTGAACGCGAAAGGCCTTCGGGCTATCGAAACGATAAAAATGGCTGTCTTGTGGTTAGGGCAAATTCAAAATATAATTGTTCGGTACCATACTCTTAGCGCAATTCAAACATCTCGACGGCAGTGTTTCAAACTAAACAGATCCGTTGCGACTTAGAACATAATTGAATGTTATAGGGTCTTTCCTTACAATTAAAAATTACTATTGACCCTTTACATTAAAAATATTCAGATTTTATTTTTCATAAAATAATTTTTTGCCACTATTTTTTTAGTAAAGTACAGTTTGACGTCATTTTTCATAATTTTTCCATATTTAATTTTTCTATATGTAATTTTTTATTAAAGTACAGTTTTAGTAAAGTATAGTTTTGACTTAATTTTCACATAAATAATTTTTAATAAATAATTCTTTTGTTTTTTATTAAAGTTCAGTTTGACGTCATCTTGCATCTGAAAGTGCTGCCCCGAATTCTCCGGTTCAGGCGTAAGAGTAAATCTTTTTTAAATATAAGACTAAATTTTTCTATATTTAATATTTCGTAATTTTTCTACTTTTTAGTAAAGTACAGTATGACATTTAATTTTTAATAATTTTTCTACATACAGTACGTAAAGTACAGTTTTGGCGTAATTTCTACATAAAATAATTTTTCATAAAATAATTAGTAATTTGCGACTTGAAACAATTAAAAAAAATTACAAAAACTTACCAGTTTGGCTAAGGGAAAGCGGCAAACGGGTCCAGAGGGCGGCTGCAGAGGCAGGTAATGGGGTGGGGGCGGTTCTTTGATAGCCATAGGGGGGCCTCACAATAATTAGTTGGAAGCCCCCGGCAACTCAATTCCACAAAAATATGTTCGCACGTATGCGCACAAACGAAAGCGTTATCTATACATACCCCTTGAAGGCGACAACCCTTATCTTATTAGGACTGGTATTACAGACGCCAAGGGTTGTACTCTCCCGCATGAAAGCGGTACCTGTCACGCTAACGTGAGGAAGAAAGTCGACCACCAGCCCAAATTCCCATATTCTTAACTTCGCAAGCACCACCTCCGTACACCTCAACAGATCAGCGAAGAATGAACAAGTACCGACATGTCTCAGCTAGTAATTTACTACGCGTATAAGGTGTCGTCATGTTTTACATCACGTTATTACGTTTTACGTTATGCTGTTATCACATTTGAAATAATTATCAGTTTTAAAAGGTGTTGAAACTTCTTCAATAAAGGCGAGTTTTTTAAAATATGACGTGTCGCATATCAAAAAACTACGCATACAAGGTCTTCTCCACCAGAGATAACGAGGAGAAGGTCGTGTGTAAAATTAAGGATATATCCCTTAACTACACAGCCTCACGACTGGTAAATTTCGATACCATAAAAGATATGGTGTTAGTCACTTCCGCCACCCCTGTATGCGTGGCCTCAAGAAACATCTTGAGGACCAAGGAGCAGGAGGTGATAACTGTTCGACAAACCAAGCTGTATAAGCCTCTCTCCGTCAAGAGAAGGTTCATGAATGACCACACAACTTGTATGTAACGCTCTGTATTATAGATAATTACATTGAAAAATAAAAACCATATTTTACATGCAGCGTTTTTATTTTTCCTCATCTTTTCAAACTTACAAAGGTTAGAAATAATAATACTCAATCATATGTTACAAGTTTTATTAAGGGTATCTGTACATAACATTACAATACATTTCACCGTAATTTTTACATTTGCATTTTTTAAATAAATTCTCTGAAGTTTCATTACTGCAAAACGCCGAAAACTGTTCACGTTCTTTCACATGGTCTACAAGGGCTGTAGCATGTCCTTTTCTACGATGCGCTTCCAGCCTATAAATGTAGTTCAACGTCTTTGGATTTGAATGCTTGTTGAAGGGGTCAAAGTTCATTTTAGACAGCAAGGCAAACGATACAGGTTTTTCGTCTTCATAATGTATATAACATGAAGGCTGTTTATCCAAGTACCATTGATTAATTAATACATCGTCGCGAATATTTAGCTTCCTTATCTCTCTCAAGGCTCTTGCTTTAAAGTAGAACGCTGTTTTCATTTTTACGATTTGTCACTACCAAGAACAAGACAAGAATGAGACGCTTGCTCAAGGTATTCTTATTATGTAGAAGGGGGTAAGAAATTAAATTGCGCTCGTATTTTAATCTATTTCTAGCATTTTATTAACGTCATTTACAAACATTTCAATCGGTGTATTTACTAGTTTAAAATCATTGTATTTACATGTAATATACGGTATTTCGTCCTTGATGCGATTAAAAAGGCTTATACTGTTGGGGTTATACTCTAAATCTGCCACAACGCGCGCTTTCGGGTGCTTCTTCTGTAGCCTCTTCAAGGATTGCGGGAAACGCCTTCTCTGTGTTCTAATGATATAGTGCGGATACTCGGTTGATTGATTTTTCTGTATTATAGCAAACATGTGTCGTTTGTTCGGGTTAACGACCTTTGAACTTATATCTTCAACGTAATTTTCTAGCTTCTCGTTCCGTGTCCCCAAATCTTGCAACTTGACCATCAGGGCTTCATTTTCGTGTTGGTACTTGACCTTGAATTCGTTTACAAAATATTCTTCAATTATTTTACTGCATTTCATGTAGAATTCCGGAGATACCCAGCAAGCAATATCCAGGAACAACTCTTTGGGTAAGTAGGTTCCAGAAATAATGTCATATTGATTTCCATGTATATAGTATGAGCTCGGATACTTTTCTCCCCGAGCGCTTTCTGATACATAATACCACATAAGTTCTTTCGATCTTTTATTACGTAGCTAATATTTAAACTCTTTTCCACCATCCTGGCATAGCTTTGTAGCGTTAAAGTAACCGGTGTCCTTGTCGATGATAATTTTAAAATCTCCATATAAACCGTACCAGTATTGATCTTGGATTTGCTCGAAGCAAACATCTCGTAGACTTTTCATTTTGAGATTATATTAAAAGCACGTCTGAACACTTTGAATGTTAGATGAAGAATGATTACTGTTGCTACTATGCTGCCGCTATTTATCATTCAGAAAAATGTTGAACAATATCCTTTAGCAAATTCAGTTCACACATGAAGAGCTCATTCTCCACACGATAACTTTCAGGAGCCTGATGAACAGCTGTCTCTGTCTCCCTTGCACTGGAAACTCTGATTAAGTCTACGTAAAAGAACAAGTCAAAGTTGGCTCTATAATCGTTGAACTCTTTAAGTCTCTTCTCAGGATCTTTAGTGTATCCCACTTTGTATACATTTCTAACTCCATACTTCATGGTTGTTGCTATGTAAACGTATCCGCCTTTCTCTTCTGTTCTCGGCAACCGCATCCATCAAATAACTTCTTGTAGCATTGCAGGATGCACATACGTTCTAGAAATAATCGTATTGTATACGGGGTTCTTATTGCCTTTTACTGTTTGCAAGGGATAATTGTCCCCATCACTTTCCGATGTATAATATCGCCTAAGTTCTAAACATTCAAAGAATACATATATTTATACAGGGTGTAACCAAAATGCTTGTCCAAACTTGAATAACAGATTCTATTTCACAAATTCCTGGTACAAAGACGTAAAGTATTGCGTCATTCGACTGAGATCACGTGAGCAACCATTGAGATTGAGGTTCAGAATATGGACAAAAATAAAAAATATGTTTAATGCATGCGCAGAACATACTTGTAATTAGTACCTTAGTTTCTTCAAAATCGTAACGTTAGCATAAATCATGATAACGGAGGTCAATGAACTCCAAACAGCATTACATCATTCTTAGGTCGTCTGGGGTCAAGGTTCAGACCTGTTTTCTACTGGTACAGACATGTTTTTTAGCATAAACTGTAATCTGATATTTTATTTCCTTTATAACTGTAGTTTTAGCAAAAATTCCAACCTAATATGCAGGCTTGCTAGTAAACCTAGCATGAGCCTCTTTAGCTCAGTGGTAGAGCACTGGTCTTGTAAGGTTTTTCTTATAAATGAAAGGTAGAATGAGGGAGGAAATAAAACAAACAAGGACAAGTAAACATATATTATGCATATTAAAATATAATAATTGTAATATTATGAT